GGGAGAGAGAGAGAGAGAGAGAGAGAGAGAGAGAGAGAGAGAGAGAGAGAGAGAGAGAGAGAGAGAGAGAGAGAGAGAGAGAAACACTTGCAAATTTGGACAGAAAAGTGCAAGGCTTTACGCTCACAGAATACACTTCAGGTCCATGGCATGCCATAAACTCTTATCGCAATCACCCTTCTGCCTCTGTGCTCACTGACAGGTGATCATTCCAGCCATTGATTGTCTCACAATCAATAGTCCTACAAGCTTCGCCGCATCCACCAATCCATCCTCTGACTCCGAGTCCCTACCAGGTGGACACTATCTCTGTCCCTGCGGCGCCTGCGCAGCTGCATCCCATGGCAGACCCACGCTGCCGTTCACGGAAGTCGATTTCATTATGATCTCTGTTTGCAACTCAGGTTCGCGGCTTCTAACCGTGTATTCCTGGTTCCTGGAACGTGCCCTCCGGATCGGATGGCGTTTCGTATTCCATTGTCTGCTCAGTGTCCCTGTCCCCTCGTACACTGTTGCTGTCCATACATCATAGTGTAGTACCTCCGATATTCTATTTCTTCCTTGTTTCTCCACTGGCTTTTGCTTTTCTGCATCTATCAGCCACTGACAGCCTTAATTTCAGATTTTTTATGTCTGAAAACCTCTACGCCTGCTTACTATTCATATTGAATTTCCCAACTCACGGTCTAGCCGTCCCAGTTGCCCAAAATTTACATCGTCTTTTTTTGTCTTTTTTTTTTAAAATGGCGATGGCGTTGAGATATCATCATTCAACTGACTGGCCCCAAGCAATTCAGAATGATTTTATTTTCCACATCTGATGGCATCTAGGTTCGAACTTGAGTTTGTGTTTCAACAGTTCAGGGGTGTACCAACTGAGGTAGGCCCCCCTTGGTGATTTTGTCCTTTTGTACGTACTATTTATCTAGTATGTCTAATCGTGGAACTTAAACAGACCTGTTCATTGGCCACTGACCTGCCGTTCTTTTCATTTCTCCTTCAGACGCATTTCGTAGAAATGCTCCTACTGCCAACAGGATTATCTCTTTCGGGTACTGCAGGTGAGTTAGTTTTTTGAAAAGAAGATGAAAAAACTGCACCAGGTCCTGTGACTGCTGCACAGTTCAGAATTCGCAGAAATCCACTGCAAGATTGGGCCATGTGCAGTTTGAAACAGCAAAAAAGACAGTGAACTATGCATTCTACGGCCTACCGGTTCGTAATTGGCAAAAATGGGAGGTGGCCTGGGCTAGTGGTACCTCCCTTTATCCCGTGGCCTGGCCTGGGAGCAGGTACCGGTAGCAGGCCCTCCCATTTTTTTGTTTTTTTTTTCTCCCTTTTTTGCCTTCTGGCGGGACTCGGTTCAGGCGGGTAGCCGTGGACTGCGGTCATCGTTGGGAACACCGCTGCGTGTTATATATATATATATATATATATATATATATATATATATATATATAGAGAGAGAGAGAGAGAGAGAGAGAGAGAGAGAGAGAGAGAGAGAGAATGGGGCGGGTGTTAACGGGGTACGTGGCACGGTAGGTGGCTTTTCTTGTACTGACAATGTGGGATCTTTTTCCAGCCCGAACCTATTCCCGCCAGAAGCCAAAAACGGGAAAAAAAAAAAAAAGGAAAAAAAGGGGAGGGCCTGCTACCGGTACCTGCTCCCAGGCCAGGCCACAGGATAAAGGGAGGTACCACTAGCCCAGGCCACCTCCCGTTTTTGCCAATTATGAACCGGTAGGCCGTCGAACACGTAGGGGCTCGCCACACAGGCTTTCGAACGAAGGCATTTTCCGAAAGTTGTCAGACTAATTTCGAAAGGCTGCTCGTCAAAAGGATTCAACATGATCCCGCCATTGTCACCATACTTAGATATAGGGTCTTGTTAGACACTCCTAAAAGAATCCTAAAATTTTTAGGACGAGTCCTAAAGGTTTTTTAGGATTTCGTGCGGCGTCGTTACACGCAGTCCTAACAATCATCTTTTAGGACTCATCCTAAAAGGTTCCCCGCGGCCCGTTTTCATACGCGTATACGCAGCCGCGCCGCCGATGTCCGTCCATTCCTCGGCGGTGTCCTTGGTACAGAATGTGGTGGGCCTTGGGCGGGAGTTGACGGATCGGTGAAAAGCGCGGTTCCCCAGAACTTCAAAATTTTGAATTTGAATTCTCGCGGACGCGTGCGCCGTGAAAAAGACGGCGCCTCCCTGCCAACGCGTGTGACCTGAAAAAGACGGCGCCTCCCTGCCGTTCGCCGTGCGGAATCCATCTTTCGAGTGTACGCAACTTGCGAGGAGCGTGCGCATGATCGTGTGAGCCGCACATTTGCCTCCGGCGTGCGTACCATCCTTTAGAAGAGTGGAGCAGCGGACGCTTGTTCGTCTCCTGTGCCAGTGTACAGCAGCGTTGGCATCTTGGACTCCGGCGTGCTTTGTCTACGACGGCAGGGTTCCGCGGCGGGCGTGTCTGAGGCGGCTGTCGAAGGCGTGACTTGGCAAACCGTGCGAGGATTGGCAGAGATGGACAGTCACGGCTGCTCAAACGGTCTACGCGAAGAGGAGATCGACGCCGTGGCGATGGCGGTGACTGCCGTCGTCGTGAACACGATGGGCGACAAGGAGTCCTCGTCGCGCGACATGCTGATGCGGCTCCGGCAACGAAGAGCGCTGTCGCAGAGCGTTGCAGAGGTGCCGAATTGTGCGGCGACGTGTGAGGCAGTCGTCCAATTGTGTGCCGCGCTGACGTCTGGCGTTTTCCCGCGGCAGACTCCTCGATGGTGGATTAAACGACGGACTGGCGGGACATGGGAGGACCTCCGGCTTCGGGACGACGCGACGGACGAGTACTTCCGGCAGAAACTGCGCATGTCGACGGCCATGTTCAACCACATCGTAGCCGCGTGCGCCGCGTACATGGAGAAGAAGGTGACGCACTATCGAATGCCATTGCCAGTGGAGCAGCTGATTGCTTTCGCGTTATACAGGTGGGCGTCCGGAGAGATGTACGAGAGCGGCACGTCAGCATTTGGCATCGGCAGGGCAACTGGACTGCAGGCTGTCCGCGACGTCACTTCGGCGATGCTGCAAGCGTACCCCGACGCGATAAAGTGGCCAATGGGCAGGAGACGTGCGCAGATTCTGCGCGCTTTTCGTGAGAAGGGTTTCCCAAACTGCTTCGGCGCTATTGATTGCACACACATCTACATTGACAAGCCCGCCGCCGCACCTTCCGAGAACTACTACGACCGCAAACAGAAGTTCTCCGTGCAGGCGCTCGGATCCTCGACGTCCACGTGGGATACCCTCCGTGTCCTGCACAATTCCCAGTTGTTTAGGCGTGCAGAAAGTGGCGAGCTGTTCGACGCAACTCCGGAGAATCTGCCGCACGGTGTCGTCACGCGAGGCTACATGCTAGGCGACAACGGTTATCCAGTTGCCTGTCCATGGATTGTGTCGCCGTACGGAGGAATCGACCAAGGTGCTGACGAGGAGCGCTTCGACACGCGGCAAAAGTTGGCACGGGGGTGTGTGGAGAGGGCATTCGGCCGACTCAAGTGCATGTGGCATCTGTTCTTGCGCACCCATAAGACGAACCTAGAGACCTTGCCACAGCAATGCGTGGTTGTCTGCACTCTCCACAATATCCTCCTGGACGCGGGGATCGACTTCGACGAGAACCTTCGGTGGGAGGTGGATGCGAGCAGCGTTCGGCGTAGAGTGGACTTGGGCGTTGTGGGGAACGGCGCACGCGGGCGGGGATGGTGCACAAACGTGGAAGGTGAATTGTTGAGGGATGCACTGCGAGACCGCCTAGCTTTGATGTAGGACCGTGCGGTAGGGAGGTGGTGCACACGGGGTGGTTCGATCAGTAAGCCGCTGGAGTTATTACGTGGTCCATGTCCATGGTCGTCGTGCGCGTGGTTGGTTGGTCGTTCGAACGGCGGCATGATTGTCATCGACGAGTTCACATTATCGTTTTCATGCTGTTGATGGCTACCTGGTTCGCACAGTTGTGCGAAGTTTAAAGATTGGAAGAACCTTTTTTTTTGGCAGTGTGTGTCGTCGTCGTTGGGACTTTTTGTCTTTTGTATATTGTTCCTGTCTTCAAATCGTTTGTGATGAACGGTGTCGCGTGATGGGAAACATGGTTGTTGTTGTTGTTGTTTTTAATATATATATATTTTTTTTGCTATCCATCTGTCGAAATGTTGTTTATCTTTATCGTTTTTTTGTGCATATCTTCATTTCAGTTTCCATGACCGGTTTCGTGTGCTGTTGTGGTGGGATGACATGTGCAACATGCTTCTGTACAATCCTGTCATGCATTCTCTCAATCCATGATCAACGCATGTCTATTGCATGTCGTGAAGCCAATACGAAGAACAAGAACAAGTGCAACACAGACAAGGACAGTGCATGACACGCATGACATTTGTGTCTCACAAAAGACATGACGACATTCACGACACCGACATATGACAGAGTCGTGACAGTTGTCACACGCATCGCAAAAAAGAAAACAACAGTTAACCGCCACGCGGTTCAAATCGTCCGAGACAACGAGGAACACCATGCATTGATAAAACAACCACGTGCGCTGAACGCAGAAATAAAAAGAAAATAAAAACAACAGAAAAACACACGAAAAACAAAGGTGCAAACCTTTCATCCCGTGTTGGCGCTACTGGCCGCACACTAAACACCTACGCCACCGTCGAAGATTCAGCCGAATCCCTCCGGCCAACACGCTAACCACCGAAACTACAATGACACAATCGAACTGAATCAACCCGTGCTTATGCCACGGGCGCCACAGTAAACCTGTGCACAATGATGAGGGAGGACTCTGGCGAATCCTGGCGACCGACACGCTAATCAGGTGCGCCACGCACGATACTCCAATCACACGACAACCCATCACGTCTCGCCACGCGTACATGCGCCTTCGTTCTTAGAAGCGTTGTCTCCCCGCTCTCCCCCCGCATACCAGCCCACCTTATGCGTTGTCTTTTCCTTCGCCTTTGATGTCATCATCAGCGGGGCCCGAACCCAACCAATCCAGCCTCTTCGCATCCTCCAGCCCCTTGATGGTCGCGTCGTGCGCAAATCCGATGCCGCATGGTGCCCAATCAGGGATGTAGTCGGGGTACACTCCGAGCGTGGCTTTCGCCTTCCCAAGCCTCTCCGTGATGACGTTCGCGGCGCGGACGACGGATTGTCGATGATCGAAGGACCGATGCATGGAGGCAATTAGTGTCAGCTTGGCGACGAGATCCGCAAAGTAAAATGCTTCGTAGTGACTGCGTGGATCGTCTCCCGCCATGCGCATAATCCACATGGACGCCGCCAGCAACAACCTGAAGCAGTCAGCCACCCGACATAGACGCTCGTAGGAGATGAAATCGTCGTCGATGTGAGCGCCCATTTGCACCGCCGCGCGGAACGAATGCGCGATGCTAATGACGGTGGACTTCTGGTACGCAGCCATGTCGTCGTCCTCAGGTCTGTCCTCGATATTCGCGCAGGCGTACCACAGTGGAAGGTCCATGTTAAGATCTATCGTGTGGGCGCAGATCGGCGCGCTGACGACGTTGCGGCACTCCTCGCCGTACCACATTGCACGCGCAATGTCCATCGCTACGGACTCCAACGAGTACTGGAAAGCAAGGTGGTACCCCCTTGGGCGGTTCCCGGACTTGAAAACCCAGCCGTGCAAGATGCGCAGAGCTATATTTTCCACCACCGCCGCACGGGAGATCGCTTGCTGGAGCTGTGATTGGTCTGCGATCCTCGCCACCCTCGCGCTGGATTTGGGGACGACAACGCTCCGCGGAAAGTTCAGGTGGCGGAAGGCCGCTGGCGATGGTTACGAAGTACTCTTTGGTTTCGTGGATGATGTTGTAAAGTCTGCGTCCTTCACCCGTCGTCCAGAAACATTTGTCATCCACCTAAAGAAGTGCACGGTCGATAAGGTTTTTCGTCATGACTCCCCTGTGTGCCCGGCTTGAAGCGGCCTCGCCGCCATCCCGTTGGTTCATGTTCTGTCCACGACCCTCCTCTCTCACCGTCGCCGGAACTGCAGCCTCCTCTCATGCCGCCGGAACGGGAGGGACAACACCTGCAACAGCCACACCCGCGCCACCTGCCGCCTCGCCCCCTGCTGCACGCGCATCTGCGACGACTCCCCCGCCACCACCTCGTTGGCAAGATGCACCGTCACCACCGTCGTTGCGCTGACGCGGCTGAGACGGCGTGCAGGGCAGTGCACCTGTGATCGGCCTTTCGTCCTCCGCTGCGCGAGCCATCGACACCGCCGCTGTGGTCGCTTGTGTCACACTGCGCAGGTGACGTTTTTCCAAAGGCTCGTCGTCTTCGCCGCCAAGGTCCACCACAACACCCTTCTCTTTCCACGTTTCTCGGACACGCAGCTGCTGCGCCTCCGGCGGAGGGGTTGACATCGTCTTCGAAGCGCTCTGATCCGGAGTACGCTGCGTCCTGCAGACGCCGTCGCCTCGCCTTGATCGTCCTCCGTCATGAAATCATCGTCGTTGACCTCTTCCGCGGCCTGCGCCCAACCTCGCGCACCACGACGCGGCGCGCTTGCTGACGCATCATCCAAACGCAGCCTCTTCGCCTTCGGGATGTGCCGCCGACCTTTCCCCTGGGCTTGGGTTTCGTCAAGCGCGACATCGCGCTTCTTGCCACGGGCGTTCAATCACGCAACCATGCTCGTTGGGGACCCCCACAAGCAATCTCGGTGTAGCGCTCGGCTGACGTGTGCTGTTTCGTCGAAAAATATGTCACCCGTCTTTTGTCAGCTTGGCGAGACAGGCTATCCCGACGACACTGAAGATGTGTCCTCCGCTGCAGGATGACGACGACGCACAAGCGCACCACGGAAGGATGATGTCCCCGGTGACACCTGTCCTTCGCGATGGCGGGAGTGCTCCGCGGCGAGAAGACTGACTGCCAGAAGAGCGGAAGCGATGACGGTGAGAAGYGTTGTGGCACTGCAGATGCGCGGCGGGAAGTGTGCAGCTGGCCCGGCGAGAAGCGTTGTGGCACTGCAGATGCGCGGCGGGAACCTTGTACCGCGCTCGGCGAGAAGCGTTGTGGCACTGCAGATGCGCGGCGGGAAGTGTGCACCTGGCACGACGAAAAGCGTTGTGGAATCACCCTCGTGCGAACGACATTTGTGCGGCTCCGGACGCGCAGCACTGAAATGACACTAGCGGAAGGACCGTCCACGACATCGCGTCGTCGTGGCGGGAAAACGGAACGACGACGGCGACACGTGCTACCGCCATGCCTGTCCAGGCCTGTCATTATCAACCTCCCGAAGCCGCGATAAGGCCCTTCCACGTTCGGTCGACGTGCGCGAATGCACTCCGGAAGGACCAAAACAAAGACGGCCCGCCTTCACCCGCGGACACCCCATCGCGCGTCCCCCCCGCAGCAAACGACCCCTCCATAACTCTCACAACCCGCTTCCACAGCAAACCGCGCCTTCCACAAACCCCATACAACACACCCCCTTTCGACAGTGGCTATGTGTGTGTCGATCAACCAAAACGCAGACGATGGGTGGTCCTCGAAAATGCAAACTACCCCAAAACATACACACACACACACACACACACACACACAGATACACACACACACACACACACACACACACACACACACACACACACACACGCGCGCGCGCGCGCGCGCACACACACAAACACAACCCCCCCCCTCTCGTCATGACCGCAGGACCCGACCTTCATCTCCCGCCAAGTTCGCACGAAACCCCACCCTCTCGCCGCCCCCAATTCTCCGTCGACTACTTGGCATTGCTTCCGCGGCAGCCGTCCACGAGCATCGCCAATGGCAACATCATGAAATTCACAACCGAAAAAAAAAAAAAAAAAACTCGATGACGACGACAAAGAACCAATTTTGATCAACACAGCACGCAATGGCCTACATGGCCGACCGACCACGGATGGCGGCAGCGATCTCCAACAGTGCTTGGCACATCATCCTCTGCGTCTCATCGGACGCCACATAGTGCGCTTTTTGGACGGCAACTTCCTGCCCCAATATATCGCATTGCCTCGTGAAGATGCTGCATTGCCGCTTGCTAGACGATTCGATCGTCGACGACATCAGTGCGCCATGGCGTTCCATGACATCAGAGATGGACTCGAATGCCTGCTGATACGCGTTCTTCCTCTTCCCGCTTCCCGCCTCCCGCCCCGCTGCCTACGTTGCTCTCGGACTCCCTCGCAGAAGAACGGTCGTCAGGGCAGCCTTCACCGGCCGCCTCACTATAAACAGACTCCCCGCCACCCGCTCCTCGCCTGGGCAGCTGCACCCCATCCGGACTGCCGGTGCCGGACGTTGGGAGGGAAAATCTTGTGGTTCCCCACCATGCCTGCATGGATCTCGTTGTACAGCGCCCTGTCCATCCGAAACTTGAAGTTGTGCTCCTTCCTCTCTTCGCTCGTCAGCCTGAAAAAATCTGGCTGCCCGCTGGCATTCTGAAACCTCTAAATTTTCTTGTAGTTCTGGAACAGATTGTCCCACTTCTTCATGCAGTCGTCAGCGTCCTTCGGCCTCCCCGCATTCGCCATCCGCTTCGACATGTCCTCCGACTTCCACTCTTTCGTCTTCATCCGCCCGTAATTGTGAGACAAGCCGGCGAGGTGCGTATCTTGCTCCCGCTTGCATCGCACTAGGAGCATTTGGTCTTCAACAGACCAGTTCGTCGGAGACTTCCCGGCGTCGTCACTTACAACACCTCTGCCTCCACGGCCAACAGATCGACCACGGACACCACCTCGGCCGCGTGCTCTCCCCCTCCCGACCGTCTTCCCCAAAGGCCGAATTGGAACGTCGTCGTCCCCCGCTTCCACGTCTTCCCTCATCCCTTCGTCTGCGTCGTAACCGAATCCAACGTCGTCTTCGCCTCCATCGCTGTGTGCCCGCATGTTCGACACTCCACGTGTTATGTTGTCCACAGTGGGTCGTGGACGTACCGGCGCTCTGCACGTTCCCTCCTCCCTCACTCCGGATTCGATCGGTGTCGTGCACGCAGGCATCAGCGAACGTGCACCGCCCATGCGCAGGGGCCCTGCTGCCACCCCGGGGGGTGCGGGCCAGGTCGGTGTCAATCGATCGACGGACGGAGCAGTCGATCCACGCTGCCGTCCCGCTGGGGATGGCCCAACCGCGCCAGTCACGGGTGCAGCGCGACGAAGTGTGGACTGCTCCGTATGCAGACTTCCACCATGCTCAACGCCACGTGTCGAACGATCTCCGTCGATGATGAACGTACGGCTCGGGCTCGCCTCCCTGCCGCCGCCAGAACACAACCCGAACCTCAGATCAACTCCTCCGCCGTTGTCGTCCCGCAAGCCTTGATGCAGCAATGACGTGAACTCGCCCCCTTCGTCGGGAGCCGACCCGCCTGCTCGCACCGTCTGCAACCACAACTGAGTCGAGCCGCCAGCGAGAGGCAATGTCGAAAGTTCTCCCTTCTCCGGCTCCTCGTCCGACGGGGGCAATGGCGTGTCCCACGACTCCAGATGGGTGTACATGGACGGGTCGCACCGCCTTCGAGGCTCCGCCGCAGAAGATCGAACTCCTCCCTGACCTGCGGCAGCAGCCGGTCGTGCCTGCATGCCCCCCATTAGATGTTCGCCTGCCGCCCGTCTCGTCGAAGCCCTCCTCTTGCGTTGTTGTTTCCACGGCCGCCACGAAAAACACACGTGGAGGAAGACGACAATCAGGAAGACGACGACAGCGAGTACCAGTAGGGGCAATCTCCTCCGCACGTCAGCCATGAAATTCACCTCTGCAGCCGCCCTCGCACGTGACCACTGCAGATGTGTGTTCCGACATGCCCGGGACAGGGGCGCTCGACCTTCATATGCGGACAACCACCACAGAAGACGACGAACACGCCCGCCTTCCTTTTGAAATTCGACCGTTGCAGCCCGCGCTGCCCAAAGCGGCTCCGTCTATCGTCCTGTGCACGTCGACGTCCCACTCCACATCTCGCAAGCGACCCAACGGTCCAGTACGGACAACCACCCGCCGACGCTCGGCCCTTCGCGCTCCACCCCCTCTGCCAACGGCTACCGTGCGTGGCCGTTGCCCGCGTCAAGCCACAGAAAACCTCCGATGTCCGACCACCGACTCGACGGACCACTTCTGGACCACCAACGAGTGTCGACGATGCCATGCGCGCGACGCAACTACTCCATGAAACGCGGGAATCCTAAAATTTTCAGTAGGTCGGGGGCTACTGGAAAATTTAGGACGATTTAGCCTGGGGAATCCTAAATCTTTTAGGACTCGTCCTAACGCCGTTTTCGCATTTTCGATCTCCGATTTCGTTTTAGGACTGTGTGCAACGAGGACGCAATCCTAAAAACAGGCATTTTTAGGAGTGTCTAACGAGACCCATAGCCAATGATGTTATTGCATTCCTTCAATCTCGGTACTAGTAACTGGTGTGTTCCATGAAGGGTGAATCTTTCAAGGTTCAGATTCTGGTTGAAGAAATGAATTATTATTGCCCTTGACACTGTCCACAGCAGTACTTTCGATGCCCCTTTCGACTCTGGATGGTTCATTATACGTCGGTACTATTGGTCGCAATGGTCGGTCTTCTTCTTGACACATCGGATTCAACTGCCATTTCGTCAAAATGGACATCTTTCATTTTTTTAACGAAATTGAAACCGGACTGCCTGGATGTCCCTGGTCTCAAGCTAGGTCCAGGTACAGCCAGGGGGTCTCAGGAACAGCAAATTTTTTTTGACGAGTTTTAGGCCAAAAAGCTTGGTTTCAGTTTCGTTAAGAAAAAAAAAGATGTCCGTTTTAACGAAATGGTCGTTATTCCTTCAAGTTGGTTTTTGGCATCGGATAGGCTGACCCAAACAACGACGGTGGCACTTTTGTGTCAATCCAACAGTCTCATCAGTCTTAGAGAGTTTTGCTTGTGCTAAATTAAATACTGACCGACAGTGTTTGGATTGCGGGGAAAGCTCATACTGTTCTGATTCAAAGAAGAAAGCAAGTGTTGTCTCTCCCACCAGGTTTTTGTACATTCCACGTACGTCTCACCAGGCTGGATTCCAGTCCAGGGGCGACAGTATGAACCTTTGTAACTCAATCTTCAGTGTCTGAACCTCAGTGATTCAGTGAATTCAATAACCCGTCCATGAGTCTCACTGTTCAATCGTCAGCATATATCTCATATGTACTGGTACTTGATAACGTACACGAGAGAGAGAGAGAGAGAGAGAGAGAGAGAGAGAGAGAGAGAGAGAGAGATGGACTCTCTCTCTCTCTCTCTCTCTCTCTCCGCCCGTGTGTGTGTGTCTGTTGTTCCCGTGCGCCATTCCTCCGTTGTGCTTCTCGCAACGACCGCTTTGTTTGTTTTTTTTTCCTTTCCCCTTTTTTTTTTTTTTTTTCCCCTTCTTCACTATTGG